CCTCCCCCCCCCACCTCCCGTTGTCCCCAACGAGCTTTTCTGCCGGTGCAGCCCGGCTCCGTGCGGAGCCCCCCGGGCTGCCTCCCCTCGCCCCCCCCCTTGAATTATTGAGTTTATTTATTAGCAGCCAGGCGTCCCCTCAGCCCCCAAGTACCAGGGCTGCCCCTCGGCCACGCAGCGGGCAATGCTCCGGGGCTGCCACAAACCCCTCCGAACCGCTGCACGTTTTAAACTGCTTAAATAACCCTTTAAAAAGGGATTTGGCATCTCAGCTCCCTGCTGCAGCCAGAGAGCCATTCCTCTTGGTTTGGGGACTCCCGCCTGCCTGGCCCTCTCTTAACCTCCAGGAGCTCCCCTGGTTGGTTTTTTTTTTTTTGGGGGGGGGGGGAAGAGGCTGGCGTTGCGGTGGGGTGCGGCGAAGCGGTGGCAAAGCCTGCGGCGACGCGCGGGGAATCCGGCACGTGCCGGAGCCTGTTTGCACAACCCGTCGCACGTGTGCCAGCTTCTTCCAGCCCAGCGTAACCAGCAGGTAAGAAGGGGCAGCTGCCCGGCCTTCAGCCACCCAGTACGAGGGAGCAGGGAGGGAAGAGCGGGCATGGCTGCGTGGCCGGGGGCACGTGGCCGCCCTGCCTGTACCCCAGAGTGCAGGCAGGGAGGGAAGGAGTTGCGGAGTATATGGGCAAGCGTTCCTGGGAAGAGCTGGGGAGGGGGGGAAGCGAGTCTCCGGTGGAGGTTGTGAGTCGAGGGAAGGAGCCAAGAGCTGGCAGAGCCTGCCCTTCCTCTGCATCCCGGCACTGGGCAAGGATGGAGGGGGGGAGCAGCTGGACCCGGCTGTGAGACCCCCTGGCCCCCCATATCTGCCACGTTCCTGTCCTCCTTCCACCCGCAGCAATGCAGGCAAGGGACTTCTGCCTGACTTCTCCCTTCTGCACACCCTTCTCTGAGCCCTTTTCTTCCCCGTTAGCCCATCCATGCCGAACGGCTCCCTCGCCAAGAGGCACGGGAGGCCCCAAACCCCCCTGAGAGAGAAACGTCGCTCTCCTCTCCCCTTCCCAGCAAAGCTGCCTCCCTGGCACGCAGCCCCTCCACACGGGGGTCCGAGCGGTGCCGTCCAGCTGGAGCCAGGCTGCCGCTAGCCGTGCGGCTTTACACCCCCCCCATGGCCCCAAGGATGAGCTGGGCAGGATGGATCCAGCCCCACCACCCGTACGGGGCTGGACGACACAGCCCAGAGCTGGTGGTTCGTGCAGGGGGTTGCAAAGGAGGTACGGAGCGTGCTGTGCAGCTGGTGCTGGGCTCCCAGCTCCCAAAAGCTCCACTAGAAACCCGTCCCAGCTCACCTGTGTGCTCACCCATGGAGCCAGCTCCGGTGCACTCCCCAGCCCTCTCCTCTCCTCTCCCTGAGCCGCAAAGCGCGCCGTGCTGTAGGAGCGGTAGCAGGCAGGCTTTGGATGACGGAGGAGAACAGGTAACGGGAGTGAGATTCAGTTCATCTGCCTTCGTGCCTGCAGGGAGGGAGCGAAGTGCGGCGTCGGGCTCTGGGAGGGCACGGGGAGCAGCAGGGTGCGGGGGGGGGGGGCGGGGGGACAGCCCC